TCTGGAACAGCTCTGTCACTGATCTATGCAGAAATAAGAGCCGCTCCCCTCTCTCTCTGTGTCTAGCTCTCTCCCTCTCTGTCCCTCTGGTCTTTTCCTGCAGGCCAAGTGCAGGGGGCCTAGAAGCCTTTAATGAGATCTATGGGGAAATAATAACCCCCCACTAAACACAAATACACACGTCAGCCATGTCACCATTTAAGTCCACTTCCTCTCCATATCTCACTCTCTTCCTCTCTCTCAACCAGTCCTTACACCCCCTACAGCGATTCAAGAAAGCAAATAAATTTCTTTAAAGCAGTCCTGTCATCCCCGCTCTGCGTCGTTCTCTCTACATTGTCTTTCTCTCACTTTCACTCACCCATGCTGCACTCCCTCTTCTTCTCCTCCCATACTTTCCTCTCTATTATCTCTGTCCCTCTGCTCACCTTTGGAGCTCCCCCTTTCATTAACATACAACCTCTTCACAGCTGAGAGGTGGACACCGTCTTGTAGTCTGAGAAGTTCACATATCTTAAGTAAGCAGTAAGTGTTTGTTTTTGTGTGTGTGTGTGTGTGTGTGTGTGTGTGTGTGTGTGTGTGTGCGTGTGTGTGTGTGTGTGTGTGTCCTTGCATGTTTCCAAACTGTTTGTGAGACCAAATCCTGCCTGAGGGGCTGCTGCTTATACTTCAGAGTTTGCACGACTCAGACTGTGGAGAAAACATAATTTGTTTCATGCTGGTTAATGTGCTCGGCACACAAACGCTAACTTGACAATCCAATAAACCTTCAAACAAAACTGCCTCGACATCCTGCTGTGGCAGAATCATATCAATACCGTGTGATACACAAGTCTGACTGCCGCTGAGTGCACACCAGTGAGTTAATGGACCAGTGCCTTTTTCATCAGCCACCAGTGGAAGAGGAAGAATCAGTGCAGAGTACGCAGATCCACTAACACAGCTAACTCAGAGTACAAAAATCATCATCTGCAGAGTAACTATGGCTGTCAAATAAATGTCGTGGGGTTAAAAAGTACAGTTTGGAAAAGAAGTATAAATTGGCATGAAATGGAAACACTAGTACAAGTACCTCTAAATTGTACTTTAGCACTGCACTTTAGTAAAGAGACTTAGCCACTTTCCATCACTGAGTGTAAATACAGTAAAACCGTTAAATTACTTCACATACCTTTGGGTAGTTCAGTCTAACAATGAATCATTCATGGCTCATTACTCAAGCCAATCACTGAGGTGGTGATCTGTTTGAATCAACAGTATTTCAATGCAAAACAGGTCACTATCGTAATAAAGTCATTCTAATGCTATTTAAATACCAGCTATGTGTCACTTGGACCTCCAAAAAACATTTAGACTAAATGAAGCTCCATTTCTAGACATCGTTTGACCTGCAAATCATCAAAAGGTGCCTACTGGGTACACTGGGGGGTTGTACAATGTGTTTTCTTCAACACAGTTTTGGTATGCCAGACGTTATGCCAGACGTTCCCTAACCTTCACAAAATAAAATGGGACAGACATCAACTGTTCAAAATGACTTTCTATATATCACCCTGATCTTTCTCTCTCTTCGGCATGAGATGATAGAATCCATCCAACCGCATTTTAGCTTGACCGACAAAAACAAACTACTAAACCCTGGATTCTTTCCACATGTAGCAATGGCCTAAATCTCCTCTTGACAAATGTAGCTAACTGATATTACAAACAAATCTGTAGCTCTCTGTCAGTGCACCAGCAGTGACATCTTGATTGACAGTGCCTTGAGAGAGATCGCCCCAATAGGCTTGTTCGGATCTGTTAAGAGAGTTTTAAAGCAGCAAAGGTGAGACCCACTGAGGGGAGGCAGGACGAATCACCAGATGTTTCCTCTGTGGAAACGTTTCAGGAGAGAGTAACAAACACTGACCTCTTGACAAATGTCACAGGGCATTTGCTATGTCCAAACACATTCTGCAATACACAAAAAAAATGTAATGAATGCAGAAAAGTGAGCCAATCTGCTCAATATGTGCACAAATACAGGCACTTAATGGCCTGAAAAAGAATCATGCCAAATTGAGCAGATTAAATGTTCTCAGTTCCCTCCTTTTTTTGTGAAGAAATATTCTGCTTCGACGTATCTGTATCACAGCTCTTTATTAACTTTTTTGAGGGATCATTGTCAAAAAAAAAGATTTTTTAATATTTTCAAATTAATTATTTTCAGTTATTTATTTTCTTCTCTAAACTCATGAATATACAAGAAAATAGCTTTTGAATAGCTGTCCACTGTAGTGACACTAGGGTTTGTCCAAAACGAACATAGCAGATTAACATTATCAGATTTTTTTTTATCAGTTTTCAATATCAGCCCAAAAATACAATCCTAGGTATGAATATAGTCTGATGTGCTGTAGTCCCACTGGAACATTGACTTAAATTGACATATCAAAGTCCATTGGCGACAGTAAATCTGTAATCAAACTGCATCAAATTGGACCCTGATTGGCAAACATCTGACAGAGAGCTATGTAGCTATATATTCTGCCAAAAATGATATAAATATAACACTAATTACCAGTGTCTGTATGTGTTTATGTGTAGTCTCTGCATTACTGCATGTGAGTCACTTACGTCACTCAAAATCCTCCCCCCTCAATTCATAACATTTGCATTTGCGTTCTAGAGTCACTCCCTCGTCTCATTACAACACAATTAACAAGCAATTAGATTTTTATTGAGGGTGAATTAGCTGACATGTAGAACAAACCTAATGTACTGGGAGTGTAACGTGATATTACCCAACACCAGCGAGTGAAGGAGGAGGAGGAGGACAGGAGATGAACCAGTGGGGGAAAAAAGAAGATCAGAGGGTTTTCCATCTCTTAGCGAATAAGAGACGGAAAGTGAAAAATGACCTGAAGAGGTTGAGTCAGGACAGGAGAGTGAGTGAGCGAGACAGTAAAATGGCAGAGTGATGGTGGGTTATAACTCTCAAAAAATTATAAATAAGTTCAAAATAATCAAAGGCAAACATATTAAAAATACTACAGTCAGACTGACAAATTGGATCATTATTGGTCTTCTTTGTAAAGTGTGTCCTGTGTCTGCCAGCTAGTTTGATTAATGTGATTACTTGTCAATCTTGAGAATCAACAAATACAGACATTATGACTAACAAACTGTTGACTTAAGAACAAGATTGTGACATTTTTTACAACTTTTTCTTTTTAATTTAGCACTTTTTAAAACATTCAAAGCAATTCAAACCAGTAGTAGAGAAATGCTGCCCCTAAATATTTGGAGCATGTGGCCAGGTATCACACATTGAACTTTTAAGGGATGAATACTAAATGTCTGTGGGATTAATTTCTCAAATTAATTTAGATTAATATTGAGCGGAGCACAGTACTTGGGGTAAAAGAATACAAATAAAATAGTGCTTAAAGTCGGCTAAAAAAGTCAATATCAATCAGCAACCTAACACTTTCTACTCGCTATTCTGATTTCTATGTACTTCATTCTCATTCCACCTTTATTTATTTCTGTCTGCTTCACTTTATCCACCTGGATCTATCTCTATCCAACTCTGTCTTTTTCAATCTACGTTCATCTCTTTTCACCTGCCTTTCTCAGCTACCTGGTTCCTACATCAGTCTACTTTGATCAGCTTCTATCTGTGTCTACCTGCGTTTACCTTTATCGCTATCCTCGTCTTTGTGCTTTTATCTATTCTGTCTCAGCCTCTTTCTACCTCGTTCTGCCTCCTCTTCCAAACACCCATGTGTTTGTGCCCCATTCTATCTCTCTGTGTCTTCATGTGACTGTTAAGCAATATCTGAGTTTTTGACCCCAAGCTTGAGTGAGCATTCTCATCCCAAGCAATCCCATTTAACCATCTTTTTACAATTAAACGTTGATGCCGATTTGTTAGAAGAAATAGGGAGTGGTGCATTATTTATGGGTGGTTTTAAAAACACTGAATCAAGCACACTTGGGTATCCACAAACACACACACACACACACACACACACTGCTGAAAACACCCATGCACAGATCAATAATAAATCACACGGTAGCAAGAGGGAGGAAGAAGCGTTGAGCGAGGCATTTATAGTGCACTGGGATGGTAAATATAAAATATAGACAAGCATACACACAGGCACTCACAGATGCATTTATTTAATTTGCAGTTTCATTCTTGCTGATGATTTATAAAGCTGACACATCAGAGAAGCCACGATTGTTTGATAGAAGAGAGAAAGAGGACGGACCGCTAATGTCTGAGGAAAACGGCCTCCTGTTTGTCGAACACAGAGGCAGTCTGGTTCACCTTTATTCTGGTAATGAGCAAAGATGCACACTTGCTCCTCTATCCCTGTTCCTCCCTTCTCTTCCTCTTCATCGTTTTTTTTCTCTTCTGCACAAAAACACACACTTGGATGTAGATGCAGCCTTAGCCCATTGCATCCCCTGCTTCTTCATAATTCAATTATCGCTACAATTGAGATGATTCACTTTCACTTTCACGGATCACTCGTCAGAAAAGCACAGAGATGCAAAAAATGACTGGGTGTCTGGCATCTCATGCCTGATTTGTCGGGAGTGGGAGAATGGCGTACTGTACATGGAGGCAGCTACATCTCCAGCCCGTGTGGCCGGTTGCGACAAACTTCTAATGGAAGCTTTTGCACTGATGTGATGTAAGACCGCATCTGGAAAAGAGTAGAGTAGACAGATCGGTCTATCATGATTCTGGACAGCCCTCTTAAAACCAGTCACACCGAAATGGGCTTTTCACGGCAGGCTTTATCGCACCATTTAGAAGCTCTTTGGCGGCATTAAGCCAGAGGCAGCGCTTCCCTCTCTTTTAGCTTCCTGCCTTCACTTCAACTTCCCTCTCTTTGACTCTCTCTGAAACCTTTCTGTCTTGTGGTGTTTCTGAAATCAAATTGCTTGCATGTTCTCATTGTGATTGCTCATGTATGTGATTTGGCTCCGTCTCTCCCTCTCTTTCTCTCTGGAGCTGGGTCACCTTGAAAGTCTCTCTCACCCTCTCAGATCTTTCACTTTGCTGATGAGCATTTGCGCTTCTCTCAGTTTTCTGGTGATGCAGTGAGACAAAGAGAGAGCGAGAGACAAAGAAAGATAATCTAATCAATGTAATATGCCCAATCCTCTGAGATTTGCAGTGTTTCTGGAGCACTGCACATTGCAGGATTTCACTGAACTGACCACACGTACTGTCATAACACTCGTGGTCAGATTATGAAATGCAGCCAAGAAACTGCACATAACTCCCCGTAAAACAGCGAACTATTGTTTTTATACTTTTAAACAAACAAGACATAAGGTGTGAGTTAGTGAGTTTCAGCTTGTGTTACTTTGGACAGAGACTGTTTCCCCCTGTTTGCACATGTATGCACTCATGTGAAATACGAGCTTTCATTCTTTGAGTGGTGAAAGTGGAGTAATTGATCATGACAGTGTTAAAAAAGAAAAGCTGGTGTGTTTAACTAATGAGACGTGGCCCGCTGTGTTTGTGAACTTCTCAGGAGTTTCTTCCCGTGATGTGTGTGAAGTGTGCGCAGACAGCACTGACCGTTTGCTTGATGTCTGGGATGCCAATGCGGAACACCATCATGGCAATGTGGGTGTCCTCAGATGATGCCGTGCCGCGCTCCTTCACTCTCCGCTGCTGCTGTGGCTGCTGCTGCTGTACGTGATTGGCCGGCTGTTGGTGCGTGGGTCCGGGATTGGACGAATAGGGGTTTGTGGTGTGTCCAGGGTTCCCTGGCCGAATCTGTCTGTCCCCGGCGGGCCTTCCGGCCAGTTTACCTGCCGGCCTGTGTCCCTCAGCCCTGCCTCCCCGCGATAGGCCACCTCGCCTGACCTCCTCCACCATCTCCTCCTCATCGCCCTCCTCTTCCCCTTCCAGCTCGCCGTTCTCCTCCTCTTCCTGGTCCTCACCACGCTCATCTTCTTCCATTTCCTCCTCCTCCTCTTCCTCCTCCTCCTCCTCGTCCTCTGCCCCTGGATAGAGATGTCTATTATTTCCCAGCATCCTTTGTTGCTCCTCGTCGCTGGACAGGGGGCTGAACGGCATCGTCATGGCGACAGAGAGGGTGGCACTTGTGGCAACACCATCATTCCCAGAGAGACACTGTGGGGGGGGGGGGGGGGGGGGACAGAGACAAAGTAAAACTACAGACAGAGATTGTCCACTGTAAGTTTCTTTCCCGGCTGCATCCAGGCCTCCATACCCCACCACTCTAACAAACTCTGGTCTCTAGGTGAGCAGACCTGCAGTCCTTCCAGCCCTCACTGCATGATGACATACTACTCACACCTCACGTATAAATAAACTCACTTGCGCTGTTAATTTACAGCTTCCAGACTCTCGCTAGTCATTCAGACACCCTGCCTGTATGTTCACACTCAAGATTTGCCTGCAGATGACTGAACCTTCAGATGCTTGAACCATATCAGTATTTCACTGTGAGCGATAGTACTATGGCGGGTAATACTATATTGGAATATGCTCATACAGAGAGCACTGCTGTGACACGTACTACTTTAGAGGGCACTACTGCACAGAATAGTAAGTTAGCACGGTGTACTCACTGTAAAGACTAGCATTATAGAGTTATATCTAAATCATAACCTTGAGAATAAAACCTTAGAAGGAGAAAGTAGATATAAAAGACATCAAACAAACAGTTGATGTTGAAGTGTTCGTCATTGTAGCAGGGAGACCCCATGATAATGATAGCATCTGGTCTTTCTTCTCATCTTGTACATCCACAATTTGAAGCAGTTACTGGGTCAGATTTAAGTCTTGTTACACTGAAGCTGCTGAGACTATTTTAGTTAATTTAAAGCTGTGTGAGAAATCCAACATCCACCTCAGTAAACTAAGATATTGGTCTTGCACTACACAGCGGACTATTCGTCACTGCACATCTTGTATACAGACACTTGTAACGGACAACAGCTCTTCATGTGATAAACTATACGCTCTTATTCTTGCCATCACCCCTGAGAGAACCGAGAAGCCACTTCAGAGCATCAGTGATGCAGCGCTGTATTCAAGTACAGGCAGATAACAGCAAGAAGCGAGATAACAGATCTGTCCCTGGTGGCTCCTGGTTGGCTCTGCGTGCAGTTTTTAGGATTTTCAGCACCACTACATTCTGGACAGCTCCACACAGAACCAAACAGCAGAATGTCAAACGTAAGAGACGGTGCTCAATTCACACCAGAGGACTGACCAATCAGCACCTGATCTGAAAGTAACAGAGTTAAGCTTAAGTAAAAAAAAAAATCTACTTCACTATATTCAGGACATAAAATGTGTAGTTTTTACTTTACACACTTATTTGACAGCAATAACTAGTTGCTTTGCAGATTTAGATTGTAAATACAAACACTTGAACGCTGATTGAACCAGTGATTTAAAACAAAACTGTACAAAACTAAATTTCAAATGACAGTATTTCATCTAAAAATCCAACTGGAAAGAATAAAATCAGTATCAAGTTGTTCTTTGTTTTAATTTTTCTTGAATATCAAGTACAGAATAATGAGGCTACTTTAAATTGTAAATTGAGTTTGCATGTGTGCTTGTGAGGAGGCAGCTGAAAGACACAGGGGAATAAGAGCCATGTTGTGAAGGGGAAAAAAGTGTTAGACATCAAATAATGTCAAGACTCCTATTGAGATTAAACCACCAGCAGTCCAGCTCGACAAGAAACAGGAAGGGAGAATAAGAAATGAAGAAGCGCCACAAGAAAAAGAAAAGGAAAGGGTGGACAACAGGACCTAGCATGTGGCAAGGACTGTTCCTTTTATGTCTCACATCTTATTCTGCTTGAAAAATAAAAGCACGGCACTCAGGGGAGATTGTTACAACTTTCTATGATGCAACCATCGGGTATCATTTATTTGATGCCAGTTGAGCATCATGTACCTAAAGGTTGTGCCGTGTGGAGTCAATACCTAAAATAACTGAAACTGCTTTACAGAAATTGAAATTCTTGCCACAATCCTTCACTCGATGTAACAAAAACACAATTTTAAACCTGAATGTGAAGCTAAAAGTTATTCAACTTGAGTTTTCATTTCTGTTCGAAGATTATATGCCAGTCGCCTCTCTCTTTTAATTTCTCCTTTTTCACACAAACACACTGAGTACAGGACTGGTTGTGACAAATACTGACTCTCTGGCAGTGATTCAGCCTCCAACTTTTGAATGCTCATATTAGCAGGCAACCTTCAGTTCACAGTCATGAGGAAATATATGTCAGACGAGTGTGTAGCAGACTGTAGAAGTTTAACAGACATTCAGACTCTATCATCCAGTAAAATAGACAAGAACCTCAGAGGAGACTTGTAACACTTGACAACCAAGGACAAAGGATGAATCATTGTTGATGCATTAGCCTGTAAACGGCATTTTAAATATGACTCTTCCTAATAAACATACACTCTTGGGTTGTTAAATCTTATTTTATGATCTTGCCCTGTGTTTTACATGTGAAATCTTTATGTCTACACAGTACTAACTACGGCCATAAGATAAATGTAGTGGAGTGAAGTATAAAGTTGATTGAAATGGAAGTACCTAAAAAAATATTACAGTACTTGTGTAAATAACCAAAATCAGTATAGCTACAGCTACATTGTATTTTTAAAGCTTTGGAAAAGGTTTAAAAGACTCCCTTAAATGTAAATTAAAATTAATGAGGACTCTTATTTAAAGCTGTCTCTGAAAATGTAGAGGAGGGCTTGAGGAATGGAAGAAAAATGACAAAATTAAAGCAAGCTTGTAAGAATATTTGAAAAGAGGGAATAGACGACAGGGGAGGAGAAGAGGGCTGGAAACCAAATTGTTGGAGGGAAATGATGAATAAAAGAGACAAGGGCACAGAGACAAAGACGGGGAGGAGCGGGAGAAAGCAGCAACGTTGGTACAGTCTTGTCAGAAAGCTCACCAACCAGGGAGGGGTGCCTAGAGCAGATATGATAATAAATGGAAGTGAGCAATCCATATTTTTGCATAGTGCTGAGTAATCAAAGATAGGGGAAGCTAGAAAGGAAGGACAGGGAAGAGGACATAGGGGGAAGCAGTCAGGTAAGAGGGCTGTGATTAGAGAGAGAAAAGAAAACAGCAATAGAAATATGAGTGGTTTGGGAAGAGGAAACACCAACCTGGTCTCCAAAAAATTAAGTTCCCATACAAGTAAACAGAATTCTCAATTATGTTTCGAGGGAAACATATTTTCTCCTGGATTACGGTTGCAGTTTTAAACACGTGGTTAACGTTTGGCTTAAAAAAAGTACACATGGATGGAGGAGAGAGTAAAAGTGTGAGAAAGGAGAGGGAGGATAGAAAAGAACAAAAAACAGCAGAGATGTGATGGAACAGGGACACAAAAGAACATTGATGGAGAACGAGGAAAAGACTTGAGTGTGAGAGGTTGCTGTGAAATCAGAGGTGTGATTTTGCAGGGATGGATGATGGAGAGCAGAGGAGCAGAAGCCAGAGAGGGTGAATGTGGGGTTGAATCGTAATGCCATCACCAAAGCTTTTTTGGTAGGAGTTGCCAAAAGCCAGAGCTAATATTGATATTCATTGTATTTAGATTTGGCCTTTATCCACATTTTCATGCCAAAAAAGTTAAAGGAGTTCCATTTTTTTGTAGAATTTGTAGAAAAGACTCTGAAACAGCCCATCGACCCTCACAGGCTACTCAAACGCTCCACTGAAAGACATAAAGAAATGGATTTTACGCTCCTTAAAGCAACCAAAGGTACATTTCATTGCAGGTTTTACAAGATGACACCTTGAGGCTGTTAAGTATAATCCACCCACGCCACACAGTGATCATAAGCCCTCTGAAAGTGGCTGGTGTGACAGACCTGTTTGTCACGCATTCTTAGTGAAATTAATATTTGTTCAAGGTTGATAGTGGCCAGATATTGTCTGATCCTGATGGATGGAGCAGAGAAAATGAACGTGGAGTTAAAAAGGCTGAATCCAAACTTTTGAGAGAATTGCTCATCATCTCCAATTAAGCTGGAGCAGGTCAGGACTGAGGGAAAATGATGAGAGAGAAAGTGATAATCAGTTCCCGAGAGAAAAGTCATGACTCACACATAAAAGACCGTCATAATGAATGCTCTGTGTGTGTGTGTGTGTGTGTGTGTGAGCTCATCTGAGTGAAGATAAAGAGGGCGATGGAGCGATTAGATATTGCCTAATGCCAACAAGTGATAATCATCTCCTACTCTTCATATCTTTCTGTCATGAATCTTTATCTCTCGTTTATTCTCTATCATTCTCCTTGGAGAGTTGTTTTAGTTTCAGGTCACGTCATTAACACTTTCACTGAGCTCGGCAACTTAAAACTACTTCAGGACTCTACAGGTTACTAGGTAATTGCATGTAGCCTATGTATGCATGTATAACTATCGCTTAGCAAATGACAACCTGAACTGAGTGCCGACTACAACGCGCATCTTCTCATCTCGGTTGGATGAGATATAGTTAGCTGTTAGCAGCTATTTAGCCTGCGGCGTGCTTGTTAATGGTTGCTAATACAACTGGGCTAATACAGCTTATGGCAATAAACACACAGCAGGACTGTTTCTGTTCTGAGAGAGCGTTAAACCGTCAACATGAAGCGTCACATAGTGAGCTGCAGTTTAGATGTGCTGACCCTGGCACATTTACTATAAATTCACATCTGACAGCTTTTATATGTATCTGTTCTGTCTGCAGTGTCACAGGCTATGTCATTCTTGCTTTTTGTGATGCGTTGAAATGCTGCTGTGTTGTGTATACAGTAAAGTTAATTCTGAATCTTAATCACCTACTGGTAGCCTTTTACAGCATGGGACACCACGTTTTGGTCATTCATTGTTGATCTGTTGGCTGTAATAAATCACATGGTTGATATGTTTCCCATAGTTCTCATGATTTGTTTTATGCGTGTCCCTATAGACACCTTATGCTTGCTGATCCGATTCATCCTGGTATTTACCCTGACCTAGAAATGAAAGACACATCACCTCGAGCTGCTTTTGGGCCATAAAATGGTTTCTGTTATTTTTCTCCCTTTTAACATGTATTGTGCATTGTTGTATTATAATCATTTGTAG